CCTGGCTGAACCCAGCACACCAGCAGAGCTCACCCCTCCACCCCCAGCCCTCAGCACGGCACAGCCAGGGAGAACCCGCAAGGAGCAGAATCAGAGAACAGAAGCTTCACCCTCATCCACCCGTTCCCACACAGACACTCTGTCTGCAGTTGCACACCGACTCCTCCAGATGTTCTGTCGGCAAAGCTCAGGCACGAGCATCCTCACCTGGTTGTGGGAGACCCACCAAGCACTGGTGACAATGCGGGCGTCCCAGGCTGCGCTGTAGCACAAGGCCATCGTGCCTGCCTCCGTCAGCGTTCGGGGAGGGATCGGTTCACCTACAGAGTAACGGCCAGCACATCAGTGAATGCGATCCATGCACAACAGACGGAATTTTCCAACTTCCACGTGTGCCCTAATCCAGTGTGTGAGCTTTCTGGGGGCCCTGGGCAGAGACAACGCGGCCTGGCTAAGCCTGAAGGCAGCAGGGACAGAGCGTCAGCAGCTGCTCTTCACTTGCCCAGCAGAGGCTGAAGCCAGCCGTGCTACTGCCCCTTCCTCAGCCCAGCTCTGCAAGGGAGCAGTAACGGTGCTCCCCGCAACACAAGGCCGACTCCCACCGCTTCCCGGGAACGGGGCGCAGACAGGGTGCGCACGGCTTGTCTGCCCTGAGATCCATCCCACCGCGTTAATGCTTCCTTTTTCCAAGGGCAGAGAGTGACAGGACAAGGGGCGACAGGTTTGAATGGAAAGAGGGAGATTGAGAGGGGACATCAGGAAGGAATTCTTCCTGGAGAGGGTGGGGAGGCACTGGAACAGGATGCCCAGAGAAGCTGTGGATGCCCCATCCCTGGGAGTGTCCAAGGCCAGGCTGGATGAGGCTTGGAGCAACCTGGTCTAGTGGAAGATGTCCCTGCCCATGGCAGGGAGTGGGACTGGGTGGGCTTTAAGGGCCCTCCCCACCCAAACCATGCTGTGATTCCCTGCTGAGATCAGCACCCTCTGTCAGCCCCCAAACTGCTCTCTCCACTCATCAAAGCCTCAGCAGGACTCCAGGTCCCGTGCCCAGCAGCAGGCACTTGCACCGCCGCCTCCGCCAGCGACTAATGCTTGTCCCTGTAAGCACAGCTCCATCGCTCCTTCCCAACAGGAACTGAGCTGAGCAACTGCCAGCAGCCAGTCATGGCTGGGGAGAAGCAGCGGCGGTCAGTGACAGCCTGATCTTGGAAGGGCTGACGCCTCTCACATCCCAAGGGATACGTCTGCTGGAGCTGGGTACCACCGCAAGAAGGGATGGCAGCTCGCCAGGCTGGGCTCAGACACGCAGTGCACTGACTGCCCGTTCCTGTGCCCCCCGGCTTCCTCCAGTCCCTGCCCCAGCCCCACACAAGGTACCTGATGGGTTCTTGATCACACAGCTCGTGGCCCCGTGGAGGTCGGCATGCACATATATGTCCCCTGGAAAAGAAGTGACACGCGGTAACTACACAGATCACTCGAGTGAAGGTGAAGGTCCTGACCCGGAAACGGCTGTTTTGGTTGCAAGGAGCAGGATGGGAAGAGGATGCAGAAACCTCTCAGTCCATCCAAGTTGCTCCAGGGAGAATCAGCTCCTTTGCTCCTGACGGGACTCAGTCCAACTGACCCTCAGCCCACAGTGCTGGAGGGTGCAGTCTCCCACAGCAGAGCCCCCAGCGCTCCTCGGACAACACACGCAGAGTCTCACCATCACCAAAGTTCCCTTCTACCCAAGACCCAACGTAAGAACAAGCCAGACAGACCTTCCCTGTCGCTCTTTTGCACATGCAAACCTGGAAAGCAAGAGAAACCGATACACGCCACTTACACAGAGTCTCACCTGATTTGAGATAGCGCTTGACAATCAGCTCATTCTGCTGCTGATCTCTTCCAGCAATAATAAGGTAATTCTCAGAACTAACGAACCACAGGAACTTCTCAAACCTGCCAAATTACATCAGTGCGTTGTGTGAAAACCTCCTGGAACTAACAGAACAGTACCAAGGTATTTTTATAGCAAACACTATGAATAGCCGTCTTGGCACCTACTCCTTACTAAGGACCCTGCGCACGGTGGCACGTCCATCCACACGCCTGGGCCATAAAGACGAGGCGTGGTACGAGTATCACGTCACTGCCAACCCTATTTTGAGACGAAACGAGCCGTCACCACAAAGTCCAGCTGCCTCCTATTATTTTCATGTAATAATTCAGTTACTAGACTATCAAAAGCTTTGGAGTTTTGTTTTGGGCTATCGTTCTTGGGTTTGGTTTTTTAATAAAAATCTGTTACTGTTTCACAGAACTGCCTTGAAGTGTCGGTGAAGTTCCCCATTTTTACTAAGCCCATATTCCCAGCTGTGTTAAAAGGAAAAAGCTACAAGTCCCTGTCCACTGAGCTTTCCCAGGCAAAGGCATTCACAGGATCAGGCCAGCATCTTCAAGGAGCCACTGTAAGAAGACTCAACACAAAGCGTGGTGCTTAGAAATCGCACGTAACTCCACCTCTAAGCTAGCGCAGACTCAGCCCATCTGTCGTTCGAGACCTGTGCGCATTCACGGGACGGTAACGACAACGAAACTGTACTTGCCAATAGACTTTTCTCGCTTTCTGAATGGTGGTAACTGTCTGAACTTCCCTCAGTGTCTGCTTCGTCTTCTTCTCAGCTGATTTAAAGGCCTGTTTAGACAGAAAGCACGATCACAGGAATCACAAAACGGAGAGATGAACAGTAGGAAGGTTGGTGGGAGGCATCTCTGAACGTTTCCAGAGCGCAGACTCCACACGCAGGCCTGCGCTCCCCACACGCTGTCCTAAAATCTTCATGCCTCCCCGCCTGGGGTAGCTGCCCCGTGAAGATTATCAGGTCTTTGGGCTGGCACCGATTTTCCACTCCCGCCTCCCTAAGTCCAGGCCGCTCGCTCTCTCCACTCAGCACCTGCCTCGTGTGATCCTGGTGGAAACAGCAGGGATCCGCAGTCCTCTGTGCAGTCAGCTTAAAAGCTTGAGAGTGGAGCAGCCCTGGTTGGTTGGTTTTACCTTTCACATCTCATCAACAGGTTTAAATTGACAGTGGGGAGGTTTAGATTGGATATGAGGAGGGAATTCTTCCTGGAGAGGGTGGGGATGCACTGGGACAGGTTGCCCAGAGAAGCTGTGGATGCCCCATCCCTGGAAGTGTCCAAGGCCAGGCTGGAGGAGGCTTGGAGCAACCTGGTCTAGTGGAACGTGTCCCTGCCCGTGGCAGGGGGGTTGGAGCTGGATGGTCTTTAAGGTCCCTTCCCACCCAAACCATTCTGTGATTCTGTCAGGGCTACCTGGACCAAAGGCCAAGTTTGGGTTTTCCACTCATCAGTGACAGGAACTTGGCTTTTAAATATTCTTGAAAAACAAAGAAAAAAATACCTTTTCTGCAGCTTCTACCGTCTTCTGAGTCTTCTTGGCTGCGTGTCTTTTGTGATCATAGTACCTGCCAAACAGGAGTTTGGATCTGGAATCCCAGTGGGTTCGCTCACCTGCACAATGTGCTTATCCCAGGGTTCTACACTCGCCGTTAGCGTCCGGCTCTCAGAAGGTTTTATTTTTAGCCCCGCTCCCAGGGATTAGTCTTCACCCGAGAAGAGCACCCGGTGAAGTCCGTCCCCTCCCCAGACGAAGCGCCGCAGCTAGGAGCCATTCTGCTCCTCGCGTCGCCGCGCAGGGCTACACTGAACGTTCCAGTCACATGGACTGGGGGCTGGCTGGGGGCTGGCTGCCGTGCAGCACAGAGACTGGGGTTGGCCCAAGAACACGTCCGAGAGCTCAGGGCAAGCCACCCACTTCACTGTCCCACCTTGGACACAGAGCCCTTCCTGTGCCAGCGCTAACGACCGCAAGCAGGCGGAAGCGCCCGCTACCCAAGCACGCCCCCACTGCAACACCTTACTTCTTGGCATTGGCGTACGCAGACAAACTGAGATCCACGTCAACTAACGACGGTTTGTTTTTCTGAGGTTTCTTCAACTGTTTGTTTTTATTCTTTTTCTTTTTTCCCTTGGGTTCTTCCGTTTCTTCTTTCTCTAACTCGGCATCCTCCTCCTCCTCCTCCTCTTCAGATAACACGTACGGGTTCCTAAAAGCACGGGACATGAGGCGATTGAGATGAGAGGGCTGGTTATTTCTTACCCGCAGTGAGGATGGGGTGATCTGTAAGTAGATGATCTGTAAGGTCCCTTCCAACCCAAACCAGTCTGTGATTCTATTACAGTAACCAAATTACTATGACATTTGAAAGAAGGCATCCCTCTCTGCTCACAGAACTATGTTCTCTTCCTGCTGCTGAAGGAAAGCCGGAACGCTTTAAACACCGATGCACCAGCCAAGAAGGTACCGGCCTGCTACACAGCTCACCCGGTCGGTCCCTGCGTGTGGTACAGGGGATCTGCAACGTGCTCACCTCAGCAGCATCGTGATATGATTTGTCTGAAGCTTCAGTTCTTTGATAGCACTTGCAACGGGGTCTCCCTGCGCTTGGGCTTCTTTAACGATCGCTCCGATCTCTGTCCAGTCGATCTGGTTGGCTAACGCACTACGGACCACCTGGATGGCTCGGTCGACGATCTCCAAGTTCATTTCTATAAGTTCTCCTTTTATCTTATCAGCTTCCTTAAGGAAAGAAAAAGGTTTAAACCCACTGAAGCTCAACACACCGCAATAGTTTTAAAAAAATGAAAGTAGGGATTAATATTGAGATGAAATCCGTGAGTGGCATCGACGCCATCACAGGGGCAACCTGACTCTGCAAGCACAGCAGCACGGGCACGTTTTGGTGAGAGGTACAAAGCCCTCCCAAGGCAGCAGAGCCCCACTGGGCGGGCCCAGATGTCCTGAGGGGCTACAGGGTGCACACTGGCAACAGAAGGCTCCGCTCTGGGGTCTCACGCGAGCTGCAGCCACCAGCACCAGCAGGTGCAACTTTGCAAGAGCGTTCCACACCTCTGTAGTCCAAAAGACAAAATCTCAGCCTCACCTGAGCTTGCTGAAGAGCTTCTAGTCTGTGCTCATGATCCCTACGGACATTTTCCAGTTTCTTCAATGCTTGTTTTTCCTTTTAAAAATAAGAAAGGTAGAAAAATACGGGTACAAATGGCAACGTATCACCTAATCACCGCAAGACATTAAGTAGAGCACACCCGCACAGAAAAATAGAAGAGCCTAAGAGACACAGTCTCCAAAATATCACTGTTAATGGTATTACTTGTGTTCCAGGCAGCACCAACTACATCACACACTTTGAAACCCAGCCCCTGACCACCACCGACTCTGCACTTCCACAGCCAAACCAAGGAATGACCCCTCCCCCTGCCCCAGGCTACGAGAACGAAACGAAGCAGAAAAGCCCCCTCGGCAACTCGCAGACGACAGCCTACCTGCTGCAATGCTTTCAGATCAATTTTCTGTCCCTCGAGCTTGGAGTAGAACTCGTCTGCTGCCTGCGAGAGAAAGATCCATTTTAAGGAGGTTGCGTTAACCTGTACCAGCAACAAGCAGGCAGAGGAGGTTCTGCCCAGGAGAGGTGGCTGCAAAACAGCAGAAGAGGAGGCAGATGCTAAACCAGGGTTCAATAACCTCCTTTACCTTTGCAGGAGTCAAGTTGAGCAAGAGACGCAAGGCTGTGTCTCACTGCAAATCAGGGGCTACGCACGAGTAAATAAATGTATCGCCCACGTTTTTTACTAAGAAATAATGAAAAAGAAGCTGCTGTTTGCCCGTGTGCTCTAGATAACTGCAATTACAGACCTATCTGCCCCGAATTCCGGCTGTTACAACAGGTCAGATAAAATAAAAACACCACCACCAATAAAAATAGAGCAAAACCCACAAAAACCCTAGAAAGTACACCAAAGAACTGCTCCTGGTGGGGTGTCCCCACTGCCAGACACTGCTTAAAGTAAAAGAGGAGGAAGGTTTTAGGCTGCTTGGATCATCAGTGCTGTGAAGGAGATGACAGGCGTTCAGCCAAGAAGCAGGAAAGGCAAATGAAATGGGAATTCTGGAGGTCAAGGTTAGGAACAACACACAGTTAACGAGTTCAGATGTTAATAAGTCAAGGGGCAGGAAGGACAACACTCAGGAAAAGACTGAATCAGGTGCCTGAAGCTTTCAAAGCCGTCACTGGCAAAGTATAAATCTGATGACTGTGACGACTGTTTGCCTCCAGCGATAACTCGGCGTCTCAACTCTCCACTAACAGAAGGTCTGACCAGCCACCTTCCCCGCAGGTCCAACACGTGCCTCTGTGCAGCGTCGCGCGCCGCACATTGGCCACGGGATCCAGGACAATGCCGCTCAGCAGCAGCCAAAAGGCCCTGGTTGTCAGCCTTTTCTGCGTAAAACATTTACCCATAACATTAAGCACCCCTTCCATGGCCTCCGTTTCCATTAACAACTTCTGCACTATGTTTTCATTAGTCTTTTTAGCATCAATCAATTAAAGCACTTAAGTACAGTATCAGCAAAAGCACTGTACCTTATTGAATGAGTCAAATTCCAAGTACGGACATTTTGAATGTTGAGAAAACAAGAAAGGATGAAATTCCTCATATCTGTAAAATACACAGTTGATATTATCACCTGAAAACTAATTTATGTTATGCAGACTAGTAGAAAAAGTAATAAACATTTCAAATATTTACGTGTAAATATCTTCTGCTGGTTTATCCGCTTCCAGACTTGGCTTTTTCTCCCTTTTCTGGATAATATAACCCTAAAGGAACACATAAATACGTCATCAGGGTTTGTCTTTGAGAACAGATCCCCCTCATCTTGGCACGGCAGCAAGTTTCAGGTGCGAAGCCACGGATCAGCGTGAGACAGTAATTCATTCTAGCAGAGAGGTGTTGTGGCACAAGCGATGTGACTGACTGAGCAAAGCCCTGACCTCTGGCTTGTCTTGACTCCAGCTTATCCCAGAAAACAAGGTGAACTCCTCTTACAAACCTACATCCATCCTACAGCTCTGCTGAAGCCCTCCCTGCTGTTAAAGCCCAAGTGCAATTCTCACGGGACCCACACAACCTCTAAATGATTTCACGGCTGCCCATCCAGTGCAAGGAAGCAAGTTTTAGCCCCATCACTACCCGGAGCCCATGCTCACAGAATAAAATCCGTGGCGTCTGACGGCAGGAACGAGCACGTGCTGCCCACTACCCACTGAATTTTGGCTTTCCAGCACAGCCGATAACCAAGCTGAGACCCACCTTCCCACTGAAGCTGTCGGTCAGTGTCATGTATTCTTCCGCTTTCTCTAAAGCACTGAGCACTTTTTCAATATTTTCTAAAGAGAGGGAGAGGAGAAAAGTCTTTTAAAACACCCAGAATTTGGGATTTTTTAATTAAAAAATCCATATAGGTATTTCCAAGACATAATTATTCAAGTTTCAGAAAAAAATAATCCAGATCCATATAACAGTAAAACTGCAGAGGCAAAACATCAACCAGCAGCTGTGAGGAGTTACTTGTTTGCTACAAAGCTGACTTGTCACAGCACCATAATGCAGTAGGAAGTATAAAATCCTTTGGGTTTATGGCAGATATAAAGCACATGAGAAAAGTAAGACGACAGGAAAAAATCTATTCTGACTTTACTGCCCAAATCCACAATTCCCCAATATATGTAAAGCTGCTTTATCAAATCTCCAGTGTTTGCTATAGACAAAGGAAGACTTCGAGGCTCGCTCTCCCATACAGGATCCCTGTAAAACATCCCTTTACGTAGCCAGAGTTCACCTGATGTGTAAGCTGGTGTCTCATTACCAAACCGTTGAGACTGTAGGAGGAATCTGATGTTTCATCCCCAGTACAGTCACAGTTCAAGAGTTTTAGAGTGAACAGGGTTGGTCCCCAACCTAAAAACACTGCAGTATATCATAGATCACAGGTTGGTTTGGGTTGGAAGGGCCCTTAAAGCCCATCCAGTTCCAACCCCCCCACCATGGGCAGGGACACCTTCCACTAGACCAGGTTGCTCCAAGCCTCATCCAGCCTGGCCTTGGACACTCCCAGGGATGGGGCATCCACAGCTTCTCTGGACAACCTGTCCCAGTGCTCCCTACCCTCTCCAGGAAGAATTTCTTCCTGATATCAAATCTAAATCTCCCCACTTTCAATTTAATCCCGTTACCCCTTGTCCTGTCACTCCCTGCCCTTGTAAAAAGTCCCCCCCATCTCCCTTGTAGCCCCCCCAGGCACTGGAAGGTGCTATAAGGTCTCCCCGGAGCCTTCTCTTCTCCAGGCTGAACACCCCAACTCTCTCAGCCTGTCCCCAAAGCAGAGGTGCTCCATATAAAACCATATGGTCACAACTCAAGGTTTAAGGATCACTCATCTCTTTGGGAAAAAATACTACTTAGACATAAAAATTACTGTATTTGTAGTACAGCCTTTAAAATGCTATTTCCTACATACCTTTACTTTCCATGTGCTGATCTATTTTGACAGAACCAGAAAATCCAGCTTCTATAAGGCAATGCTCAATAAGAGTGGCTCCATAAGCTGTAAAAAAAAAAAAAAGAATCATCTGTAGAAAACATTCACCATGACATTTTCTATTCCCATTAAAACCGTGAGAACTTGGAAGGGTCTAGAGAGAGGATACACAGGAAAGATGGACTTCACTGAATGAAACCTTTACATTTAAAAGGGGGTGGGAGTCACAGAATGGTTTGTGTGGGGAGGGATCTTAAAGCCCACCCAGTCCCACCCCCTGCCATGGGCAGGGACACCTTCCACTAGACCAGGTTGCTCAAAGCCTCATCCAGCCTGGCCTTGGACACTCCCAGGGATGGGGCATCCACAGCTTCTCTGGGCAATCTGTACCACTGCCTCAACACACTCTGCAGGAAAAATTTCTTCCTGATATCTAATCTAAATCTCCCCACTTTCAATTTAAACCCGTTACCCCTTGTCCTGTCACTACAGTCCCTTGTAAAAAGTCCCCCCCAGCTTCCTTGTAGCCCCTTCAGGCACTGGAAGGTGCTATCAGGTTGTGTAGGAAACCCAACGAGGGTGGCAAACTGCCTGGCCTGGGGGTAATAAAGGGCGAAGCCATGCAAACTCTGCAGCTTCAAAGAAAGAACTAGGAAAAAGCTGGGAAAGCCAAATGTGAAACAGGAGTGACACAGGAAACAGACGCAGCCCCGTTTGGAGAGGGTGCAGGGAAGGAGCAAATGAAAACAGATACACAAGCTCCTGCAAAGATGCTTAAAGAGTAAGAAATGATGAGGCCATGGAAAACCAGGTTTAACTTAGAACATCGAGAACAAGCCAAGCAGAAACATGATGGAAGGAGACAACCACTGGGACAGTGCGGCATCAAGCTTAGAATGAGGTAGGTGACCTCAGAGCAGGCAAAGAGGATGTCAGAGTCCAAACAAATTAACAAGATTAATTCATTAACTTGAAAAAGCCCAGCACAATCCCATGGGAATGAAATCCTGGAGATGAAGTATTAGGGCTACAGTCTTAACGGCCTGCACGGAGCTGCTGGTCACCCTAATGTGCAGAGGGACAGCCAAGAGGCTGTGAAAGCAGGACACAGAACAGCGAAACCAGGTTTCAATCATCCCAGCCTGGCTGGAGAGAAGTAACCTCATGGTAAAAGGCTGACACCAAAATTCACCTGGATCCATGCTAGTTGATCCAACAAATGCCCAAGAAATCTCCTACAGGCATTCGCAGCTCAAAAGGGAAGATCACACGCAGCAAGGAAGCTTCTTAGGAGGTCTTAGGATATAGACCAGTTGGAGCGAGTCCAGAGGAGGCCACCGAGATGATCAGAGGGCTGGAGCCCCTCTGCTGTGATGAAAGGCTGAGAGAGTTGGGCTTGTTCAGCCTGGAGAAGAGAAGGCTCCGGGGAGACCTTATTGCAGCCTTCCAGTGCCTGGGGGGCTACAAGGAAGCTGGGGGGGACTTTTTACAAGGGCAGGGAGTGACAGGACAAGGGGTGACGGGTTTAAATTGAAAGTGGGGAGGTTTAGATTAGATATCAGGAAGGAA